TGTCCGATCAGAATTCAATAAAGTGTAACTTATAGCGCCTCGAAAGTCAATGAAGAAAAGTGACTTTTTTTTCCCCCCCCCCCCCCCAGTATACCTTGCCTATACCTCCTGATTGCCAGCGTTGATACAAACGGGACACTGTGCCATGGCTATGTACATCCCCTTTAAAGACAGCGCAGGTGTTAGCTGCCTCGACTACGCCGGAGTGGCCTTACAGGAACTCATAATATGAGAAAAAAGTTTCTTGACCTTTGGGGACTTCTAAGCTTTGAAAGTTTCCAAGGAATGAAAATATCAAAATGTTGTTTTATCTTTTTCTAGCACAACTTAAACAAAGTGTCGCAGGACTTTGTTTCCAACCTAATAATAACGTAACCATGGGGAGGAAGCAATGTGGTTTGATTCAATAATAAGCTGATAAACAATAATCATAATTATCTATTTATCACAGAATCACAGATTTCATAGATGAGTGGAGTTACAGGATTCACTACTTACGAGTATGGTATTTCTTTATTATTTATTTCGAGGCACTTTATGATGCCTATCGTGCGTGCACTCCAGTGCAGTTCTCATTACAGTCGGCATACCTGGAATCACAACGATTTCAACGGAATTAAACAAAAGTAAAAGTTACTGTGTGTTGTTACCATCACTGCTGACACAACTTTCAAGTTAAATGGATATCCTTTCCAAGACCTTCCGTGCGACGACATTACACGGACAATTAGAGCGAGTCGTTCAAAAGCGCATGACCTGTCAGCCGCCTTTACGTGACATCTTGAACTTTTGCGAATGGTCTTGTTACGAGACCCTGTGACGCAGACGGAATAGAGGGCAGCGGCTGCCAAAGCATCGAAACGTATGGCTAACAAGGGAACGCGTTTTTTTAGGGGAGGGAACTCGCTTAGGTGACCTACTTATAGTAGTGGGCATGACGAAAAAAACGAAGTGAAACGGTCAAAAACCTGCGAAGAAAACCCCTCGTCCTTAATAGCTCAGGAAGCAATTTCGGACGAGCTTCCCGCACGCACCTTGTGAACAACCGCTACAGTAGGTACGGCTGCAAGTATGTACTCATATATACATGCAGCACCGCGGCCCCTTCGCTTCATAATTTGCTCAGCAAAAGAATGAGCGTCAGGAACGGTCGCCTGTTTACGGGCGGGCGGGCGTTGTCATCTGGGCGTTCAGTCGGTACTGTTGCCAGCGTGATAGGGCCTGAGCCGTAGTTCCTGAAAGGGCGCTGCGCAGCGCCTCAAGGGAGCGGAATTCTGTCCTGCCAGGCGTATCAATCCTACTCGTCTTCAGGGATTTATCATGCCAACTGCCTTTAAATACAACCTCGGCACTTTTGAAACGATTGACACTCTATTCGCAGATCAACGCAGTCGATCGCGCAATCGGGCGAAGTGGGTTCCACGCGGCAGAGGAAAAGCGGACCCCGTCACAAAATTTGGAACTAAGTGGAAGAAGTATGACCTATTTGAAGCCAAGCCGATTCCCATCACTCGTTGGAAAGCCCGGACGCTCTTGACGGGGCTGCCGCGTCTCGTCAAAGACTCTCACGCCCTGACTGTGATGACTACGTACATGCTGTTGCTCCAGAATTATTGCAAATGATGAGATTGAGTGGGGAGACAGCTCTGCTCTAATCCCGGGTTTTGCCAGCTTCCTTGTGAAATCACCATACTCCGCTATTTCTATAGTGCAACTTTTAGCGATTCCATGTAAGTTCTTCCACCAGTTTTTCTACACTGCACAGCCTAAGCACTCCAAAATTCTTGCGCTTTCAACAACAAATAGCCCAAAAGGGATAAAACGGCTATCAATGAAAAGTATTCTGTCAGTGCCTGGAGATTCCTTCGGTTTTTATTGAAACGATGGTGAACGCGTTGCTAATTGGATTCGTCTCAGCCATTTCCAAACTATTGGGGTTTTTCCCCCGAATTTTTCGTAAATATCTCAATAGCGAACCAACCTGAAGATTAGAGGCATGCACTCAATCCATGCAAACGAAATACGGAAGGATCAAAACAGGGGGGAAACTTAGGCACCAACCTAATAGCTATCTAGGCCATAAAAGCTGGTGCATTATTGATGTTTCTTCGAATGCAGTAGGGATTTCCAACAAAGGCCACGTTACGTTTATTTCCTTTGTAGACCAAGGAGTTCCGAGACATGATTATTCTACGAGAGTTCTTTCTTTCGCCGTGAGGGAGAACACTCCGCCCATAGTACAGTCGTTCGTTACTATCGTATAACTTCCAAATAAAAAAACGTTTTACAAATTCCAAAAATTTACTAACAGCCCTTCGGATGTACATATATAACGTACGCGTATAATTCACACATGAAGCAATCAAACAAAATAAAACAAAAAAAAACATTTAGCAAAGGAAGCAATCATGGCCACAAAACTGGTCCAGGGTGTACAAGATTGACTTAAATACCTCACCAATTCATATTTGCAACATATCGAAGACTACCAACACATTAGGAGACCTTGGAGAAGGTAGTTAAAGATTGGGGGCTTTCACCGTGTAGTGTACCCTGTAGGCACATTCCGCGACTGCAAGCCGTGGGCAGCGAGGTTCGTGTATGGAATACTATATGCTATTTGACTCACTAGAAGAAAAAACGTTGCAAAAGCCCTAATTAGGGTCCCTTTTCGCAGATACTTTGCAGCACTTGACGAGAAACCAAAGGCGAGAGACAATGCAATCGCTGGCAAAAGGTTAAAGAAAGAAATGAGAGAAGTTGGGGAGCTCTTCAATGGGTCCTCAAGTGTTTGTGGGGCTCGTACGGCGTATGCCGGCCTCAGCAGCACCACTGACTTTTGGGTCGTGAACTAGTACCTTTGCGAATGCACACAAGTGCAACATACAAGCTACCCTGTACAAGTAAGAGTATGTAATCGCAGAATGTACCTACAGGTTTGGCAATCTTTGTATTGTGGTCGTAGACTGAGAAAAGATGAGGTGTTCGTCTCAGAAGGAGAAGGCGCTTCGCCAGTCCGTTAATTCTCTCAATTTCGTCGCCCCTCGGAGGCGAACTACATAAGAAGAATTTCCAAAAAGATCAAGTCCCCAGCGTAATTAGTATCTTCCTTCAAACTTGGCATTCAGAGCAGTCTTTCCATCACCACTTTGATTCTCGGGAGGAAGCCATGTGGCATAGCGATCGTCATCGACACTAAAAACAGTATAGCAGAATAAGCTCTGATAAGTTGTGCATAAAGTGATGAAGGTAAGGAATATAGGATATATAGGCGGCTGGGAGCTCCTCGGCGACGCAGCGCTGCCCATAGTGTCACGTAGGCGCCGTTCGCACTAGGACTTTGATGCGAAGGGGAAGAGCTGTTACCAAGTCTAATCAACTCATAACGACATAGTCTAGCAATTGAAGAGGAATGAAAAGTATTCCTCACTCACCCAGTGCCGTAATCCTCACTAGTGTCCGCAGATAGTCGATTTGCTCGCACTCGAACACGTCTTTTCTTCTTTGTCCCTTCAGTTGTGTTCTCACTTTCTCCGGAAAGAGATCGCTTTTCTATCCGTTCGTTCACCAGCGCTCTCCTCACAAATCTCATGAGAAGCATCGGCGGATGGCTGAGAGCTGGTGGCTAAAACCGTTCTGATGCTGGTAGAGTGGCTGGCAAGGGAAGCAAGTATTGATTGGACATGAAATGAATCCTGCCAGAGGTAAAACTTCGCCCAGGTCCATTTATTTGATTGCTTCAACACTCACCTTTTTCCTCGTGCAAGGATCGCTCTTCTGATATGCGACTTTGAGGGTTTTCACCAGATAG